ATGGTATGAGCCTTTATTCGCTCTCTTTCTCCCTCCCTCCCTTTCTCCCTCCTTCTCTCTCTCTCTCCCTTTCTCTCTCCCTCCCTCTTCTCTCTCTCTCTCCCTCTCTCTCTCGCTCTTATTAAGCAAGGTTCAATTGTGTTTCCCTATCTGTTGTTTTATGTTTGCATGTATTTTGACCTATAACATGATATTGTCATGACACACGATAAACAGATACCAACCAATTGTGCATTTTTGCATTTCTATTGATGGTTTTTGTTACTGGTATCTAAACACTTGGTATGTAAACAGGAGATTCACTTTAACAGCTTATGTATACCAGATAATAGAACTATGTACAATATTATTTATATTTTTGTAGCATGGGTTTGGTATGTATTATGTCATATGTGGTTAATGATTGAAGGATGTCCCTCTCTTTCTCTCTCTCTCTCTGCCTAATTGGATTACGTGACTGGACTGTATTAATTTATATAGTTAACTTTGTATTTGTGTCGTAGGATGGTATTATTACCTACATTTTATTTGATAATTGATACATACATGCATATACACACCTACATCAGTTGTGTCTATAATTATTAGTAAACTCTATTGTCCTTGTAATTATGAGGAATGTTATGATAGCATGCAGTCACATATACTAGATACTACAATTTCTAATGGGGGAATTATTATTATTATTGTCTGATTCTTCAGTATTGTTATCATAATGAAGCACTACTGTATGGTGAATGGCCTTATAGTGTAATGCCATTACAGTTAGTGTACTTTGTGTATTATTATTGATTAATTATTGGATATTTGTTGTATCGCATGCCAAATGATGAGTTCATTTTTACTATCATCACCATTACATTCACATCATATAGGGTAGGGTTGAATATGTAAGCCTATATCTAGTATATGTGTATAATCTATAGCTCATGGAGAATGGAGGCTTTATGTTCATGTCCAGACCACATACTGTAGTGTTGGTATATTTCACATGGACGAATGCACACATCAAAGTCGAATGTTTATAAATAATATTTAATAACAATTACATCTTACAAGAGTCTCTGGGCCTTGCCTGTCATTGATCACAGGGTAATATCACACAAACCCAATTCTCAGTTGACTATGAATATTATCAGGATTGTAATAAATATTATTAAATCTCTGTGAATATTGTCATTATTATGAGATGAAAGGAACAACCTATGGGGCTGGAGATCAAAAGTATAGAAAGGACCAAGGCTCTATGGGTTTGGTATGCATCCAAGTCATTCTATATGTCTGAGGCTGCATTACATCAGAGATGAATATCCATGTACGTGCACATGTACATGTATGTGCCATTATACTCGCCATGCAGTGTAGGTACATGGTGTGTGTATGTGTACATCACGCCCTGATGTGGTAACACTCGTAATTAAGATTATACTTCTTAATATGTGCATAATTATACACATAAACACACAATTACTACAGACAGGATGGATTAATGATAAACACACTTACTCGCATACGCTCACTCATGTTAGCTAGCCCTAGGACTCCACGCCCTATCACTGATACATGTAACTTGATGTGGTTGTGTATAATACGTTAAATAGCAAAGAGTTCATAGTTTAATGTACCTCTCCACTAGTCTATATTTTATAGTGTTCATGATAAGTGCATTGATTGTGTGGTATTATTATATATTTCTGTTTTAATTTTTTATCTTCTTTTTCTGTGATTTTCTACAATTCTACTATCTCTGTATCTGTCTCTCTCTCTCTCTTGTTGTCTTAATTTACACCTCCCTCCCTCTCTCTCTCTCTCCCCCTCTCTCTCTCTCTCTCTGTCAATCTCTTCCCTTTACTGTCTTTCAGCTGATCTTTGTGTGTGAATGTTCCTCTCTCTCTCCCTATCGCATGTAGACACACGGCGCCATCAATTAGTTCGTGTATGTGCCTGCTGCTTGTTTATTGTATTTTGTGTTTAATGCACCAACAGAGTAGGCAGTTGTTTTGCCAATTGCTGAGAGTGGCAGGATATAGTAATTTGCTATGGTTTCCTCTTACTCCACTCTCTTCTGATGGTTATTGGTGTGGCAACTTTGGTTTGATAATACATTCCATTGTCTAATGAACCTTTTATATTAACAAGTATAAAAGTGTATCTGTCTTTATGCCTGCATGTATGTATGTATATAATTGTAGTACTTGTGTATGTGTGGACCAGCGAACTGTGAGTGTGTTATACCGCTGTCACTGTGTTGTTATTTTATTGTATGAGTTGTGTAGAAGACACTAGTAGTTATGTTATTTATTTGATGTGATGACATGGAAAATAAATAAGAGATGGAGAGGATAAACAACATCACAAACATAACCATAAATGAACTCTAGACTTGATTATGATATGAGAATGAGGGAGAGCAAGAGAAAAAGAGAGAGAGAGAGAGAGAGAGAGAGAGAAAATTAACAGAGAGATGATATGTTACACAGTGTATACCATGCATGTAGCTATGCATGAATTTGCAATAAAATGGTTAAGTTGGTATACATTAAAGTTCTCTCTGGGGTCAGTATTACTGACTCTGTGGTATTGACCATCTGCTAGTAAAAGTGGTTTAGTTGAGTTGATGGTCACATGTTCAATGGATTAGTTCAACAGTATGGTATGTTAACACATATTGAAGCTCTACAAGTCACCCTCTTCTGGTCAGATTAGTAGAGACACCAAGTCGCCCAGTCACAGTTTTCACTCAACCAGAGAACCCATACAACTCTATAGGACCTTAGCCTTTCCCTTAATCCTTATAATCCTTTATTGCTATAATTATTCTATCTAAAACCCCTTATTACCATAGTAACACTATATGACTCAGTGGATGTCACTATAGTGATATATGTCACTATGGTAATTGATATGCCCAAGTCATAAATACAGCAATAGTACATGATAGTGATACTGGTTTTAATCACAGCTCATAAATAATTGTATTAAAACCCGACACACCTCATAAATATCCCTAACTTTAAGGCCAACTCATAAATATCGCTATAGAATACAGACTGCATAGTTTTGTCACCATCTCTCTTCATTATTGTTTGAATAAACCTGCTAACACGATCAGTTTATTCATTGGGACTGCACCACATACATCATTCGATTATAGTGTAAATATTTTACAATGGCTCTCCCCCACACGCACACATGCATCTCGACACGTATATAATTAAAGTTACATTGTTTTGATATTCTTTAATTATATTTCTCATTGACACTTTCTCCCATATACATATAGGCCTAGTCTGATACATTATAGTACATGGCTGTATGTCGTAGTATTCCACTCCATGTAATGACAGTGCCATATAAAGGAGAGGTGTGTAATATTACTAGCTAAGGTGTAGATATATGTGAAATGATTATGCTGAGGTGTCATTTTAATTATTATCATTCCAATCTAATCAAAACTTTGTAGTAAAGTTTACACAGCTACCATTCTCTTTCTCTCACACTGACACTCTCTCTTACTCTCTCCCTTACTCTCTCTCACTTTCTCTCTCTCATACTCTTATTGCTACTATGTAGTAATTATCCTGTTTGTTTATAGCTTACGTTATGATGTGTCTCTCTCTATTGGAGGTTAATACCCTCTTATTTGGCAACTAAGCCAATTTAAACGACGTTATTATTTTATTATTATTCTAAACCCAGCGCTGTCCACCCGTCTCCTCGACCCGTCTATATTTAATGCATAATTCTACTAATTATTCCCTTCTAATTATTTGTATATGCAACAACGTACACACTCCAATGCCTTTTCCAGAGTGTATTACACACTTAGTCTGTCTGGTTTAATTCAGTTATCTCCAGGTGCTGATGTAAGGTATATGTCTATGATGATCCTGTCAATCTCTGAATTCCTTGAGGCAGTAAATACCTTTTTCGTATGTGTATGCAAACTTAATGAAGTCAGTGCTGATCTTTCTGTTATGTTTAAGTATGTCCCACTCTTTTACGGTCTCTCTCCTTCCCCCCTCTCTCTTTGTTTATGGTCTCTCTCCTTTCCCCTCCCTCCTCTCTCTCTCTGCTATTGTTTTTGTCCCCTGAATCATTACACTAACTGTAACATTTCACAACTATACCTCATCACTCGAATGCCGTAAACTTGCTAAAGCTTTTATCTTCTCATGTGCTGAGAGACATTACATCTTTCAAATCCTTGCTGTCTGCCTGGTTGATAGGAATAATGTCAAAATGTCTCTTTAGCACTATAGCCCTGACATATTTACTAGTAATTGCACCTCTTGCCTCCCAGTTTGGGTGGTGTTTGTGTTTTTGTCATTATACTAACCACCTCCTCTTTATAGATAGTGTGTATGAGTATGTGAGTGTGTATCTGAGTGTGTGTGTGTATGTTTATGTATCATTAGCATGAGGGCACCACCTTACCGTTGTTTCGTCTATCAAGGATAAGCAGTAATAATGAAGAGTGAGGGCTCTGCTCGTTTCTACTGACATGTATTGGGACGTGTTTGCACTTTGAAACAATAATGAACAATTTGTTACTGTTTTTTGTTGTTGTCTCCAGTATCTTTAGTTCTCATTCTTGACAATCGCATGCACACATTAGTACACTGTTACCAATATGTACTAATGCTGTTTTTGTTTTGTGTGTGTGTCTTTATTATACAGACTGTGGTTGGAACTAAAACTAGCTCTCTGGAATTACATGTATTTGTATGTATGTACATGTATGTATGTATGTACATGTATGCATGTTAATGGTGGTGGTGACCACTATGTAGTGAGAGCCTTAGTTGTAGTGTATGTGAAATGATGTGTGCATTATGTTCACGGTTGCTGCGTAACCAACTGCTTTTGCACATAGTAGCATTTTGGCTGTTGATTGTCAGTGTTGTTTTAAGTTTTCAATAATATTTTTTATAACATTTCATGTATATCATTCAATAATAACAACATTTTATTTTAATTTTAATATAGATATACCAGTGTCATCGATAATAATAAATATAATACAAGGATAAGAGAGGGAACTGCCAAGTAAGAGACACAAAGAGAGAAAGAGAGAGGGGAATTACGCTGCCAATATACAGCGTCTAAAGTTAGAGGGAGATTGAGTGAGTGAGGTGGTTGAAGAAGAGTTGAAAACATCAAGTGAGTAATTACTGTTACTGCTAGCCTCGACCGGGCTGGTGGTTTGTGAGTCGATCCCTGAGTCAGCCGGAGAGGAACGAAGGCTGGACTCGAACTGGACCAACTGCTGAATAAAGCTAAAGTTGGGTGAGATATTGGATTTCTTTTGTTTAACGTAATCGTAGGCACTGTTGAATGTGTATCCATAGTATTTCATGAGGTAGCTAAGGACAACTGTAACTGATCTAGACATTCCTGCATGACAGTGTACGATCACTTTCTCTCCTGATAGACGAGCTTCCTCTATGAAGGTAAATGCTTCAGGTAAGTGCTGGAGCATATCAACCTCGTGGACATCTTCTACTGGTATTTGATAGTAGGTAAAGGAGTCCATAGATCTATATTTACTGTCTTCGGAGGTGACATTAAGGACCCTTGATATCCCGGACTCTCTCAAAGCCTCGATATCAGAGGCGGCTTCCCTACAGCCGAGATAAAGATGAGAGAGGATCATAAATGGTATCTTTCTTCTCTCTTGTACTGGGGAAGGAGACTCATCGCTGCTAGAAGAGTCAGAAGAGGAGTCGTCAGAGACAGTGCTGAGGTTCTGTAGTTGTAGTACTAGTGAACTAGGGCGGCGAGCTTGCTTGAGTAGTGAAGCTTTAGAGTCTGTACACATACTAGAGTAACTGTTTTTAAAGCCAGTGTATCCACCACTGAGAAAGCTGACGTTCTTTGCTTCACGGGTCAGTTTCTTGAGGAGTGAAGACGTGAGCGAGTCAGACTCCCCACTACTACTGCCAGCTTCGTCATAGACCACTACACTGATCTCCTCGCTCTCCCTAGCCTTGCTGTACTTCTCTTTGTCCTCTTCGCACAATAGGAGAGACTCCACACTGACGTTCCCTTTCTTTAAACGGCGTAGTATGAGTGGACTGCAGCAGTAGACGTTGACAGCGGAGACGATGCAACCATCTTTGTACTCCTCGCTGCAGCGTGTGTCCAGGAGTAGGACTGAGTCTGAATGGTGTCGGAGCTGTTCGGCTAACCAGCTAACACAGACTGTCTTCATTTCTAGTTGTAAGTTGAGCTTGTTCTCTTTCTTGTAAATCGAGAGGTGTTTCTTGAGTCTTGCCTTCACTTGTGGGCCTTATTGCTTTTATACCAATCTTTTAATGATATTCATGAATTGATTGACCGCGCCCACTAGACCCAGACTTATTGGAGCCAGCTAAAAATTTTATTTCATTATCCGTCAAAATTTTGGTTCTTTCAGCCATTGACCACGTGCTTTGAGTTAGTGAAGAAAGGAGGTGAGAAAGAAGGACTCCTTTTTGTTGTTGAAAGTTACTTTTTGTTTGTGTTTTACATATTTCTCAGGTTCAATATGGCCAAGTCTAAGAATCACACCAATAATAATCAATGTAAGCCCACCAATGTGTGTAGAGCAGGGGCCATTTTTGTTTTCTTTCTATTTCAATTCTTGACTGCTTATTTCTTTATTCATAGCATACAAGAATCATCGTAATGGGATTAAGAAGCCAAAACGACTTAAACATCCATCAATGAAGGGGGTAAGTAGGCATCGAGTTTTGGAACAAATTAAAAATTCATAAAAAATCTAATTTTGATCGGAATCAGCTCAGACTTTTTACACAACCTAAGTACATGTATATGTATCAGAAAAAAATATAAAAATGGAGAATTCTCTACTTTTCAATTTTGCCAAAATTTCGCCTGAGACCATGTACTATAGTACAGGGACTTTGACCAGATTTTTTAACAACTTTAAAATTCATTAAAAAATTTAATCTTGATTAGAATCAACTCAAACTTTCTACACAACATAAGTACATGTATATGTATTGAGAAAAAATATAAAAATGGAGGATTCTCACCTAGCAATTTTTGATGAAATTTATACCCTGTGTATAGTACTGGTCGCAAAATTTTGAACCAGAGTAGGCTCAAACTTTCTGTACAACATAAGAACATATTATTAGCCTTTTTTATTAAGTTACACTTGGGATTTAAATTAACACGTATAAAGTACATATGTATTATACATATGCAGTAGACACGTATTATCTATGTATGTACGTAGCGTTGTTCACATATGGTCTTCATTAAGGTGTTTGTGTACTCTTATTAATTTCTTAAGCTATGCTAATAATAAATCTAATTATATACTGCCCTTACGTGTTTGACTGTTGACAAAACATGTTACGTATGTACATGTATATGTACACGTGTACTGTACATGTGTATAACCTATATGTATGTATGTATGTATGTACATGTGTGTGCGTCTGTGTATGTACATTTGACATTTGTATAGTTTTTGTTTTCGTGTGATATTAATTCCCTGAACATTACTTACTGTAATCTCTTGTTAATTCTAAGGTTGATCCGAAATTCCTGAGGAATCTCAAATATGCCAAGAAAGGGAACATGAAAGCAATCAGAAAGAGAAATCAAGAGAAAGCCAAGAGAGCTCTTGAGGCTTTTGCACAGAAAACAGAAAAAATGGAGCAGTGATTGGTTTTATAAAACTAGAATAATAATAATAGTCATTATAATGATGTACTCCCTTTTTGATAATAATAAGAATGACAATACACAGCAAAAAGGATGGTAGTATTGTAAAATAGGTATAAAAGTAGAAGAGGTGAAGGAGATAGGAATGATGTAAATGGTAGAAATGTAAGACATAAAAGATGTTAATAGAAACCTTGATGGGCGTGGTCACTGTTTCTATGGTAACTAACACGAGGTGTTTCTGCATCATTTGGAGGGAACTGGTGGCCTAAAGAAATAATGGCTCAATGCAAGAGCGATAAGACCCGTAGCTTGGAGGAAACGCTTGCAAAGCAACTCTATGATCTAAGCAATAGCTTCTCTGAAGAGGCTATTCAAAATTCCTTCAACAGAACACAGTAAATGAATGAAATAGTGCCAACATCAATAATGATAACAATTCCCTCTTTTAATTGCACCCTCTCCCTCTCTCTTTGCAGCTCTTTGGGCTACATAAAGACACAAGAAGAGTACAAAAGGGATAGAGAATTTGCAATTCGTTCATTGCAAGAGGTGAGTCCTGTTTGCAGGTAGTTAGATTGCTGTTCTCAATATTTGGAATATTCATTCACACTTGGTAGAGAGGGAGATTTAGAGGGGAAGGGACCCTGCATTATTATAATGCGTTATTGTGTTGTTATATGTATTCAACTCATTGGCTTGCAATTAGAGGTTAACTGTTGTTTTATTGCTTTGTTTTTCCAAGTTTTGAGATGATTTTGCACAAGGGAAGTTGTTCTTCATGAATAACTAACTACACCTCTTGTGTACCCAAACTACTTTAAGTGTTATATTTGCACTCTTCACTGATGTGTCTATCTGAGTATCAAATTAGAGGCACCTATGAGTAGAATTATCAGAATGTCAACTATGCATTGTATAATGGAGTTCATTATTATTTTGTAGGTCTCACTACCAAAGAGACTTGATATGCAATGGAAAGGAATGGAGAGAGAAGTACAAGCATGTCTAGTACCAGAAGTAACCCCCAACTCATTGCCACTCCACCTGCATCAGGTAAGTACGACATTCTATTATTCATTCGTTTGTTTGTTTGTAGTTTTTTTGTGTGCGACTAAGGCAACTGGCTTATCTCAAGCACAATCTTCAGCTCCAGTGGTCAAGGTTTGCTATGAGGGAAACTAAACTAGTCCAGCAATTTCAACTTCACTATCACCAGATTATTGAGTAAGTGTGTGTAGATGTACATAGGTAGAGTGATTGTATTTGTTGTTTGTATTGCATTCGCTCAGCAATGTGTGATGTATACAAGAGGTACGTATGAAATTCAATAGTTTAATTTTTTATTATTTCATTGGTATTGTAATTGGTTTTTTATTATTTCATTGGGTTAATGATATTGTTTATTAATTTGTGGTTTGAACCTTAAAATAAGCATTAACAGTGTCACTCAATTTTACTAACTTCTTTCTTATTTCCTATCCCTCCCTCCCTCTCTCTCCCTCTCTCTTTTTCTTTTACAGGCACATTCTCCAAGAGTACAACATTTGTCTCAATCAAGCTAGGAAGTTATCAGTAGCAGTTGATCTTCACAGAGCTGGCAAGCCGCCTCCCCTTCATCTCATATCAGAACAGCAAGTATCGTTATACCTCCATTGGCTGGTAACTGTATTCGCTACAACAAGGGACCTCACTGCATTCCTATCAGTAAGTATTGGACAGTTTGTTGTTCCTATGTATCTGTGGTCTCATAATTTGAAAAATGTCTGATTTGCACATCTATAAGTGTAATCTGTGGTTCAAGGCCATGGATTACATGTACATGTATGTTGTTTTTCAAAAATTATATTCAGAAATGCTTTAAATTTTTATTAATATCAATGTGATTGTGTATGGTACATGTTTGTAAAGTTTGAGCTTTCTAAAGTTGTGAGCCAAATACAATAAACTGGCACTTTCAACTCTATAAAACATACAAGTATAGAATCCCTCTCTTATTTGTAAATATGGTTTGAGGTTTATTACAAATATTTTGAGTGTTGGGATTCTGTTTTCATTGCAGTTAATATAGCGTTACATTCATGTACATGTACATGTACTGTGGCAATAGCATTTGTATTTGCCCACATGTATTGGTAGGATTTTATTAATAAATATTACACACCACGCCAACCACATGCAGACAATGTTGATTAAACATTTCCTTCCCTCAAAGGCCCATCAACAAAATTCCCCCTTCTCCCTCTCACTGGCTCGTACTCTCTTTGTACACCTGGCAGACACTCTATACTGTTTCTATTGTTTAGCTAATGATTGCATTCTGTGTGGTCATGAAAGAGCGAGAGAGAGAGAGAGAGAGAGAGAGGTCAAGAGAGAGGGAGTTGGGGTGAGCCAGCATGAAGCAACAGGACAGACCAGCATGATAGAAAGGATGTTAACTGCTACTTGTTGCCATCACAGTTTATATAGAGCACATTCTCTCTAATCTCAACGGGAAGGGTAACTGCATTGATATGCATCTACATATATGTACATGTACATGTATATAATTATGTGTGTATTATGTCTCTAATTTATAATGATCAGTATTACCTTTTATTTATTTATTTATTTATTTTGTTAAAGCTATGTGTCACATTAGCTGTCAGTCAGTCAGTGTCAATAGCTGCTCATATTTTACGTTGCATGTACATTGCGACAGAGTGAGAGAGATGCTTTTTAAATGTACATGTACATGCACATACATAATGACCTAGCTCTCTTTCCTCTCCTCTCTCTTTCTCCCTTTTTAGGACATACAGCTAATGCCGCTAATGAACCAAGAGCAACCAGATGCGCCCAAATATAAACTGGTAAGAAATGGAGAGAGAGAGAGAGATCTTTAGACTGTTAAGTCATTGTATGAATCATCAGCTGCTTAATGTCCCACCAAAAATACAAGATGACTATTTGCGCCCTTCTATTAATGGAGTGCTTCAGTAATTTGTAGTTGATATAATAGTCCATACTTGTCTTATGATCTAATGACCACAAACACCATACTCTTAATATCATAACTTTTGTGTTATAAAAATAGTATAGTTTCTCTCTTTCTCTCTCTCTCTTTCTCTGTATTCCCCTCTCACCTCATTTTAATGTTGTTTGTACCTCATTGTGCCAGTAGTAGGTTTCTGGTCACTATGAGGTCAGCACTTATAAGTTTAAACCACAGACAATCACGAGATATATCCTTTTATTATTTACACTCTCACTCTCGCTCTTCCTTCCTCTCTCTCTCCCTCTCTTAATTTATCTCTCCCTCTCTCCCTCTCTCTCTCTCTAGTCTCATTTCTAAATTCTTCCTCTCTCTCCTCCCACTCACTTCTCTCCCTTGATCTCATTGTACTCTACATGTAGTTTACATGTAGTTTACATGCGGTTACATGATCTAACGACTAATGAATGCTAAGCTAGCACAATATACTGTATTGAACATGAATCCATAATGACGTATATGTATATGTACATATGTATGTATGTTTGTATATTTATGTGTATGTGTGTGTGGTCGTGTACATTCCATTGGTTTGCTATTAGTAAACTAATCTTATTGTCTTAGGCTTAGTCAAACCACAAACCAATCCTAACTAGTCTCTGGGAATTGGACTGTATGCCACTGAAGTACATGGTCACTGTACTTGTAGTATATAGCATGTATGTGTGTGTGTAATTGTTTAATTGTGGTCATGTTGTTAGGATTGGGACCACAATAATCAACAAAAGCGTGTATTTGTTTTAATATCGTTTTAGCTCTAGACTACACACTTTTTAACTATCATACCCCAGGTGATTTTAATAAACGTTAATCACTTTTAATAACTTTTAATAACCAGTGAACAGAGAGATGGATGGTGGGAGGTAAAAGATGTCTGATAATAGTTAACAACATTATTTCCATTATAACAACTCAACATTCTACATTGTCACTTCATTCAGATACTAATAGTGTTAACACAATAAACTTGTGTACTCCACCATATGTGCTATTATTCAGCTAATGCACACACACACACACACACACACACACACACACACACATGTTCCTTCTTTTGTACTCAGTTGCATTGTTAGTGTTTTAAATAGCTATGCACTTTTGTTATTGTTTCGGTTTCTCTAATTGATTCAACTAGTAGCAATACCTTGTAAATAATAACAGTACAGAAGAAGACCCTAATGTTTTATTCCATTTATAGTAAAAGTATCCTATTACATTTTATAGTAACAGTTAAAGTACCCTATTATTCTATATATAGTAACAGTTAAAGTACCCTATTATTTTTTGTATAGTAACAGTTAAAGTACCCTATTCTATATATAGTAACAGTTAAAGTACCCTATTATTCTATATATAGTAACAGTTAAAGCTCCCTATTATTCTATATATAGTAACAGTTAAAGCTCCCTATTATATTATATATAGTAACAGTTAAAGCTCCCTATTATACTATATATAGTAACAGTTAAAGCTCCCTATTATTTTATATATAGTAACAGTTAAAGCTCCCTATTATATTATATATAGTAACAGTTAAAGCTCCCTATTATATTCTATTTTCATAGCCTGTACTGACGAGGAACAGTGCTATTTGGAATAACCTTAGGACTAAAATAAGGCGTCTTTCTTCCGCTCAGTCTCCCAACCTTTCAGTGGCTACTCTACCTCAGGCATCTAACTCTCACACTACCCTATCGGTACCCTCCGTACTGGGCTCTATTAAGAAAGAGACCACACCCCCTGGACAATTGCCGCAAATTAAAAATGATCCAAGTTCCATTAAAGAAGAACTGAACGATTTAATGGAGATATACTCAATACCACGTGTAAGCAATAAGGATGTAGTAACAGTAGTATTACTGTTATTATTATTATTATTATTATTATTATTATTATTATTATTATTATTGCAGTCTAGTAATTCTGATGCTACGTCAGAGAGGTTAAAAGTATTCTATTTAGTGCTCGGGTCATTTCGTACATTATTCCAACAGCAAGTAGACTCGGTGACTCTTAATGTGTATGACACGCCACCAAAGGTATGCGAACTAACTAAATCTATTAGTAATAATAATAAGTATCATTGATGTGTTATGGTTGAAGGTGCAACTATGATCACCAATTAACATTGTATTTGTGTGTGTGTGCATGTGTACCGTCAAAGTTCAATCATTTGTTTTTCTTATGTCATATTGTTGACATGATTGCATATGTCTATGCTCTCACTCTATCTTAATTTATTTATTTCTTCTCACACTTCCTTTCTCTCTCAATCACTCTCTCTCTCTCTCTCTCTCTCTCTCTCTCTCCCTCTCTCTTTCTCCCTCTCTCTCTCTCTCTCCCTCTCTCTCCCTCCCTCTCTCTTTTCCTCTCTCTCCCTCTCTCTCTCTCTCTCTCCCTCTCTCTCTCTCTTTTCCTCTCTCTCCTTTCTTTCTAGAATGCTGACAAGAAAAGGTCATCTCCTTCAAGCTACATCTTTAGAAAGCTGTCAAACTGGACTGAACACATTACATTTAGGTAGTAATATAGCTATAATTATTATAATGATGCTCTCAGCACTTTCAATTGGCACATGTATATCAACACCAAACATGATATGTCATACACTATTAACATTAATCACAAGGGAGGATGTTTGTGGTATTGGATGACTGACATTACTATTCAAAATATTGTGTATGTTGCCCTGTTCATGTTTAAAGAAGGATGCACGGACAGTAACAATATCTATTAATAAGGAATGCAACAGGAAAAACTATTAATTGTGTTGATTGGGGAGAGATAGAGATAGAGATAGACAGAGATGGGAATTAGACTAGGGAATTGTTTGAGCACATTATATGCTGCATATACTAGAGCAGTACTTACATGTATATATCATTTGAAATACATTTTCCTTCTTAGATCAAAGCCAGATGATATACAAGTTATAAATTATATTGAAATGAAAGATTCTATTCACGGGATTGACCCAGTAAGTGAAAAAAAGAGTGTTTGGAGTTTTAAAAGCAGTAAGAGCAAAAAAAGAAAAAAAAGTCAATACTCCCATGCGGGGAATCGAACCCCGGCCACGGCGGTGAGAGCGCCGGATCCTAACCACTAGACCACATGGGATTGCATATGCCTGTTGAATTTATGAATTTTATTTTGTAGTTGCTATTGCTCTGCAGTCATTGTGTTGACATACAAAATCAAGAGAAGGTGCTTTATGCTCTGAGCCAGCATTATGAGAAGATTGTAGAGCCACCTCATGTCAAAGCAACATCTGTTTCCTCACATAAAACTGAGCAGGACCCACTATTAATATGGAAATGTATTTATACAGCTGTAGACATGAGAAAGTAAGTGAGAGAGAAAAGAGAGAGGGAGAAGTAGACATGATTTACCAAGACATAAATGGTAAAGAGATAAAGATAGTTATATACAGGATATTAGTAATATACAGGATATTATTATGAATATACATGCATACCAAGAGTACATAAGGGCTATGTACTTTTGATGTATACTCATTATGATTATTATAATAACATCTTTCTTCCTGATATTACATGTAACAGCTCCATATATGGTAAAGAGGGGAATGCCTTATGCGACGCTGCGTTAATGGATCGTGTAAGTGCTAAAAAGGATGTTCACACAATAAGTCTCAATCACTGATTTATTAACATGCGCATTTACATGTATTTCAGTGATGCAACTTTTTGCCATTTATGTACATGTTTTTAGTTTAAATTTTAATTCTAACTATTAGCACCTAATCAGTTACTACAGAATGCATATCGTATAGAAGTTATATATTGATATAGCTATAAGTACAATCAGTATATCTATGTTAACATGCATGTCGTGTGTCAGTATTGTTTATGTTATTTATTAAATTGTTGCTTTGTGTTGTTTTGTATGTGCCGGCCAAGTCAGTTTGATAATAAACTTGGCAATTCTTTGCACATTATTATTTAATTATTATTACATAATTACATTATTATTATTATTATTATTATTATTATTATTAATATTATTTAATAAAATGAAATACAATAAAATTTGAAATATATAATGAAATAAGTTGGGGAAAATAATATAATTAAGTTAGGAATAGAATGTCATTGAGGGATGTAAGGGAGCACAGTCTTCAATATTCGCTGAGCGAAACTTACATCTGGTATTATTATTATTATTATTATTTTAATTATTTTAATTATTGCTAGTAAAATAATTGAGTGATTTAAGAGAAGTCCGTGAGGCATATAATTTGTGTTATCATCAAAGAAGCACACACACACATGGAGAGGAAGAGCCTTAGCTACATGTAGTAAAATTAAAATAAACTATTATTACTATTGTAGTATAAATTATTGATTTTTATTTATACAGCCCGATGAATAAAGAAGAGAAATCTACCAAGTTTACATTAAGTGATAAACGTAAAGATAATTTAGGAATGAACAGAGGCAATGTAGACCTTAACGATGCTCTGAAACTACTCGACGAAGAAGATGGACACAAGATTAGTGCTAAAGCAGAGAGTCTACCAAGAGATTACTTGTTTGCTTACATCTTATTGAGACATTTGAGGATCAGGGACACAAAATATAAGGTGAGAAAGAGATCAGAGAGAGTGTGCGTGTGTGTGTGGGTTGGAGAGAGGAGTTAGAAATGATAGAAATGAGAAAGGAAAAGAGAGAGAGAGTACAATTGTCACTGGCATTCTTTCCTGCATACATGTACATCTGAATGTAGTTTTTGAATTCTTGTCTCTTCCCACTATTACTGGTATTTGATAGCACAAGAAGTATATGTATACACATTGTTTGTATGCAATGTCTACTATTGTAATGCGTGTCAAATGAAATATTTTCATCAGTTAATCAATTTCTGTTTACACTATTCTTTACGTGCGTCATTCATTTATAGGATATTGAACTTGTTTGTTATTTATTACTTGCTATTCTGCTTTTAATTTTGCATTTAACAGTTTTGAATTTCAAATTGAGCGGATTCAAAATAACCGCATTTAGTTTGTATAGCAAGTGTAGTAATACAAATGATACGCTCATTTGTAATCTCTCGTCATTTTAATTTGAATCATAACTTTGAAAATCAAAGACAAGAATGGCTTTAGTTTTTACAAATATTTCTATTACCTTAAACTTGTCAGTACACGTACATGTCTTTTTAAACATATATTATTATTTTTTATTTTATTCTTAGTGTCTGTGTATTATTAACTACTTCTGTTCTGTGGAGAGGACCTTAACTCTTAACTCAATTGGGTTTCCATCTGATTTGGAATCAACTCAGTTTAATATGGGCATCAGTCCTCATCTCTTTAAGACACCAGCTGACTTCATGTAAGCTGATGATATGCTACTTCTCTTTCCCCCTTTTTCTTATTATAAGAATTCTTTATAATTTTTTTTTCTAATGCATATACATACATGTGCAGGGTCTTGGGGCCAAAATTTGCAAAAATTGAAAAGAAAAAATTGTCCATTTTATAGTTTTTTCTGATACATATACATGTTCTATTCTTATTTTCTCTAGTGTCAGTGAATCAGATTTCATGCAATACACTGATATTGATAATCATGATGACTACTATTCCTTTGATAATGTCTCCAATATATCAGTTTGGGATCAATCGGGGAAGCTCATAATGTATGACCTTGCTGAGAAAAAGCTCGCCGAACTGGAGGAGTTTTTGCTAACAATAGCAACTTATTACATAGAGAGAGAAGTAGCTGGAACTGATGAAAATGAAGAAGAGGTGACTTTTGAAAGTTATAGGAATTTTATCTATTTCCTTCTCTCCCTCCCTCCCCCTCTCTCTCTCTCCCTCCCTCTTTCTCCCCCCCCCTCTCTCTCTCCCTCCCTCTCGCTCCCTCTTTCTCCCTCCCTCTCGCTCCCTCTTTCTCCCTCCCTTCCTCCCCCCTTTCTCTCTCCTCTTTCTCCCCCTCTCTCTCTCTTTAGTCTGATTCTGCTACTGCTGCTGTTCCTCCTCCTCAAACTGATGATGTTGATTTGAAATTATTATCCCAACAATCCGTCGATAGGTTCACAATACTGCTTGATCTCTGGAACTCGCAGGCAGAATTTATGGAAGAGAAAATGAAAGTATAGAAGCTCTTTGTCTTTCTATATAATAGTGGAAGATAATTTTACTCTTCTCTTGTAGTTGGTCACTTTGTATCTTGAAGCATATCACAGCTGCTATGATAAAATGGAGAGAGAAAAACTGACACAAGTAGCTATATAATCAAAGAATTTAAATGTCACTCTCTCTCTCTTCCTCCTTCCCTCTTTCTCTTGACGTAGGTCATTGTTGATATTATTGGTTTGAAGCCAAGGCTAAACACTCAAACTAAATATTTTACTGTTACATTTCAACAAGAAAGGGACTGTCTTATTGCACATTATGAAGCAGTTCAACCAATTATAAAACAAGTAATAATAATAAAAACAACAACAACAACAACAATAATAATAATAATAATATTAGTTGCATGTACATATTAGACTAATGTACATGTATCTACAATGTATGTGTTTACATGTAATTCCAGTATAAGTATGTGTATATATTTGTGTTTTATTCAGTAAGTATATTTAGCACTTGTCCTTCCCTTGTATTGAGAATCATTAACTAAACCTTTAACACTTTTCCTTCTTTTTAGTAGCTATAACCAACAACATCTAACTGTCTCTGTCTGTCTGTCTTCTCTTTCCCTCCCTCTCTCTCTCTCCCTCCTCTCTTTCTCTCTCTCTTCCCCTTTCTGTCTCTTCCCAGTTGTTAGATAAAGAGAGAGATTACAATCGGACGCATTGTGGGATTGGCCCAAAATTTTATGGACTGCCTCCTCAGATTTTAGACAAGAAGTTTATTAGCTTATCTGGCTATTTGAAGAATGACGTGAATCATTATCTGTTGGAGTCAGTGAACAGCCTCTCTTCAGTGTCCTTGATACCAGCACTCATTGATGATGCACTCAAAATGATTGTAAGAGAGGAACTAGAGGGAAAAAGAAGTGGAGAGTTTTCATGAAAAATGATCACAAAAGATTTATTACATTCACATATTGATGGCCTCATTTCAAAAAATTGGCTTCAAAAATGCCTTAAAATTTTTTATTAATTTTTATAATGCATAGCATTGTACAGTCCAAGTCTCAAACAGTCAAATAATACCCAGTTATTATTTTTTTATTGTTTATTTATTTATTGTTTTTGTTTTTATGCTTATAGGTGGGTTTGGGTGCACTGGAAAAGATATCAAATGTGATAATTGCTCACACTCAATTGTGGAAGAGAGTCAAGCAGACGTGGACGTCTTTGAAACCTCTTGGAGCAAAATACAATGAGGACATACAAAACAGGGTAAAGCCATACAATACAGTATTATTGTGGAAGTATATGGGCTGGAATGATATTAATATTAATATTTTTATATTGCAACTATTCATAATTGAGCATGTAGATCTCTGAACTGCTAATCAAAAAGAACCATACTGCAATAACACTGGTACCTTGTCATTCTCCCTCTCTTTGTCTCTACAGTTCTTTTCCTCTGTGTTTTTGGATAATCCTCACAATATTGTGGAACTGTTGGAGTTTCATTTGACCCAGACAAACACAAGGCATGAAACTGCAACGCCAAGTGAAAAACTAACGGCAAAACTTCAAACTTACTGTGACATGATTCAAGTAGATAGACTTTTTATCTTCCTTCCTCCTTCTCCTTCTTCTCTCTCTCTCTCTCTTTTACTTTAACTTCTTCTCCCTCTTTCTCCCCCTTTCTCTCCATTAGCTAATAACTTCAAGACATCACTTGCTTCTCTCATGCCAGCAGTGCTCATCCCTTCACTCCATCTATCAGAGGCAGTCAGCTCAACTTGATCAAGAAGACTCTCATCCTTACCTCCGCTCTGTTCCGATAACACTACAACAGCAAACAGACAAGACTCTTAACGACTTTGTAATGGAAATAAGAAATGATAAGAATGAAAATATTGATGGGTACGATAATCATTAATAATTTAGCTGTATTATAATTGTGTGCTATTTTTGTTAATCTATTTTTTTCTTTCTCCTCCAGTTTTAAGTTGGACAGTATGCAAGCTGCTGTGCAGGAACTGGACGATCAGCACGTTGGCTGCTTTAGTCTCCGAGCAAAAGAAGATGTCATGAAAGTAAGTTTTAAACAAACATTGTTGTTGTTTATTTATTTATTTGTGTACTTATTTATTTTAGATATTAATTAGTAAAAATGGTTTACATGATTTAATGATTACACTCCAAGTTCAAGTTAGTATAAACACTAATAATAATAATAATAATAATTTAAATTAAATCATCTCTCAACCCCTCCTTTCAATATAGGTTGCTAATAAAAATGCATTATTAATTGTGTGTCAGCAAGCAGCTGTTATCATACGGTACACAGGCCCTCTTTTTAAAGACAGGTAAGTATTTACAAAGGAGTTTCATGGATGCCCTTTTTCTTGTTCTTTCATTTTATAGAAAGTTTGGTAATTTCTCTCAAATGGCATCGGCTGCTTCTCAGCATGCAGAACACATTCAGTTACTGTATCTGTTGACAGGATCCTTCCTTTCGCTTCAAAAGGAAAAGGTAGTCATGTGACACAGTTATTAATGTTTATTAATGTTTAATAGAGGCCAGTTCGAGATTATATGCTCTCTCAGTTTAATTCATCTAATAAAGGGCAGTCGGATATTAATGCTAAAAAATGGTACCAGCATGTATTATTGATAAAATGATGATTCTTGTCTCTATTTAGTTCACTCATTAGTATATACAGTAATGGGCTGATGCTGTCTATCTCAAGTTTTTCACTCAGACATCAAGTAAAACAATCATCATCATCAATTATTATTATTATTATTATTATTATTATTATTATTATTATTATTATTATCAATAGTTATGTATCGTGTACGACAGGCTAGGCAGATTGTTAAAGAGATACATCAATGCCAGGTACTGCATGTGATATGTTGATTTTAAAATAATTTTTTTATTTTTAGGGACTCTTATTTTGTAATTGGCAGCATAACAATACCATCACCAGCTTTGACACTGGAACAAGCAAAGTATGAGAGAGAGAGGGAGGGAAGGAGACTAAAGTCTATAGCATTAAATTTATTTCGTGAAAGTTTAAAATCTAGTTTCAATTCCTAAAGCCATAGTAGCCCTCCTACCTTTTGCCCATGGTCCACCTACAGTCTGCTATTGTTAGTAGAGCATAGCCACTTGTCTTGGCCTATTGTATTTATAGTGATTTCAGTTTCACCACTGCTGTGATAACATTGCTATGCATACTATTGAGCTCTCCCTTTCTCTCCTTCCTCTCTCCTTTCAAGGCTCACCAAAGGTCGAGTGAAATCATTTCTCTCTCACGATGGAAAACATTTATTAAATTTATTTTACCTTCCACATGTCTCTGAGGTGACTGTGTTGTTGTTTGTTGTTATTATTATTGTTATTGTTGTTATTGTTGTTTAGATATTAACATGCTTTAGAAATTTACCTATTAGCGAGCAAAGGGATGTTTTGATGACCTTTTTGGTAAGTGAAAATAAATAATGATAAATATAAATTATAATTTCTGTTCTCTCCTTAGCAACTATCATCACTACTGTTATATATATTAATGTATTACAGTGCCACAGCTAAATTAGGTAGAATGTGTGACAGTACGAGTGACACTGGACCAATGGCAACTGGTAAAGAGAGCATCGGTACGTTACAGATACACTGGTATATTAGACTATATATCACTTAACTTGTGCTGATGTGTAAATGCATGTATTTTGGCAATTTTCTTTATTTTAACAAATTTGTTCACATGTGTTAATACTATGCAGTCTGATATACCGTACTAACGGGTTATTAAGCGCCCTTCGTTGTTAAGCGCCTAGTTCTTATTAGGTGCCTAGCTCAATGTAGCTCTTAGCATGGGTTTGTTAAGCGCAGTACAAAACAGTAGGAGTCCAAGCAGTAGGAGTTAAAGCAGTAAGTGTCCAGACACTTTTTATAAGCGTTGTGACTACGAACCAGACTGTCAAAAAGTATTCTTTACCACCTGCCATTATAAAGCCAGTAACGTAAAGTGATTAATTATTATTGTAAACCACACCTACTGTTTTTATTAAGCGCTGAGTCATTATTAAGCGCCCATTTGCGCCTACGCTTAATAACCCGTTAGTATGGTAAATTGCTAAAATTAAATTAACTAAATCATAGTTTATTTATTTATTTATTTATTTATTTATTTATTTATTGATTTATTTATTGATTTATTTATTTATTTATTAAGGTGGTGATGTACACCAATTGCAATATCAGCTAGGATTGTTGAAGAACCCTTCTGACCCTAACGAAGTAAGAAGAGGAAATTAATAATAATATAAATAAGTTATTTTCTACTGTAGGTGCTATCATATCTTAACCAATATTATGACGGCTTGCTATTGTCACACGATATTGTGGTGAGGCACTGCTTGAAAAGGACTGTATTATCATTTGAAGATGGAAACATTGATGTTAGTAAATGTACGATTTTCATGAACTCTTGCTTTTCCATTTTTTGTAGGTATTCAATGATATATGTATGCCTAGTTTAAATAGACTTTTGGTGAGGAATGATAGACCACACCCACTGACACACCCACTGCTGTATAATCCGCCAGCTGATAAAGAAACTGATAATGTATCAATCAGCCAACACTGGAGCAGGTAGAGGAATATGAGAGAAATAAACATCCTTTGTGTTTTCTGACTAAGAGTTTTGTAATTATAGTCATCTAATAAAAATATTATTCCAATTTTTGAAAAATGCCCAAGGCTATAGCCCATAGTTTTTTTTTCAAAAAATGGCTCCAAAATCACTCGAAATTTTTATTACATTTTCCAATGGATATTGATGTCCTTACACTGTATAGAAAGTTTGAGCTGATTCCGACAAAGTATTTTCGAGTTATGAGCATTTTTAAAAATGAGCCAATTTTTGAAAAATACCCAAGGCTATAGCCCATGGTTTTTTTTCCAAAAAATGGCTCCAAAATCACCCCCAATTTTTATTACATTTTCTGATACATATTGATGTACTTATGATACATAGCAAGTTTGAGCTGATTCCGACTTAAATTTTTTGAGTTATGGCCATTTTAAAAAATGAGCCAAAATCTGAAAAATACCCAAGGCTATAGCCCATGGTTTTTTCCAAAAAATGGCTCTAAAATCACCCCCAATTTTTATTACATTTTCTGATACATATTGATGTACTTATGCTACGTAGAAAGTTTGAGCTGATTCCGACAAAGTATTTTTGAGTTATGGCCATTTTAAAAAATGAGCCAAAATCTGAAAAATACCCAAGGCTATAGCCCATGGTTTTTTCCGAAAAATGGCTCTGAAATCACCCCCAATTTTTATTACATTTTCTGATACATATTGATGTACTTATGCTACGTAGAAAGTTTGAGCTGATTCCGACAAAGTATTTTTGAGTTATGGCCATTTTAAAAAATGAGCCAAAATCTGAAAAATACCCAAGGCTATAGCCCATGGTTTTTTCCGAAAAAATTAATGGCTCTGAAATCACCCCCAATTTTTATTACATTTTCTGATACATATTGATGTACTTATGCTACGTAGAAAGTTTGAGCTGATTCCGACAAAGTATTTTTGAGTTATGGCCATTTTAAAAAATGAGCCAAAATCTGAAAAATACCCAAGGCTATAGCCCATGGTTTTTTCCGAAAAAATTAATGGCTCTGAAATCACCCCCAATTTTTATTACATTTTCTGATACATATTGATGTACTTATGCTACGTAGAAAGTTTGAGCTGATTCCGACTTAAATTTTTTGAGTTACAGCCATTTTAAAAAATGAGCCAAAATCTGAAAAATACCCAAGACTATAGCCCATGGTTTTTTTCCAAAAAATGGCTCCAGAATCACTCTAAGTTTTTATTACATTTTCCGATGCATATTAATGTCCTTATGCTATATAGAAAGTTTGAGCTGATTCTGAAAAAGTATTTTCGAGTTATAAGCATTTTTAAAAACGAGCCAATTTTTTGAAAAATACTCAAGGCTATATATGATTTTTTTCCAAAAAATGGCTCCGAAATCACTCCAAATTTTTATTACATTTTGCAATGCATATTGATGTCCTTGCGCTGTATAGAAAGTTTGAGCTGATTCCAACAAGATATTTTCGAGTTTTGAGCATTTTTAAAAATGAGTCAATTTTTGAAAAATACGCAAGGCTATAGCCCATGGTTTGTTCCAAAAAATGGCTCCGAAATCACCCCCAATTTTTATTACATTTTCTGATACATATTGATGTTCATGACATCTATTTTATCATTTTTATGTTTCTGTTGTTTCTGGTCATTGTTTAGTGCTGGTGTTGGATTAATACCTTCAGGCCCAACTCTTGATGTTTTGTCTTGTGTGTACATAACAATAGCTCCACTGAGTCAGACTGGACGGTGAGCAATAATAAATAATAATTATACATAATACCAGGAAAAATTATATTATTGATAGATTTGTCCATAATATAATGCTAGCATTTTTACACATTGATAATAATTATATTATAAATGTTTTTGAGTATATGCAGAAAAAATTTTTTGTGCGATTTCTTTTTAGAACCACCAACCCCATGCTCCAACAATATTTGCACTAATATTATACTGCCCCCCCCCCTCCTCTCTCTCTCTCTCTCTCTTTCTATTGACATAACAGTCAAGCAGCTAGTGGTGAGCTATTAGCAATGTCCCTGCTACTAGAAGACGTTTTATTGACGAGTGATATTGCCCTCCAATCCAAATCATCTCAAAAAGCACCTTCAACGATAACTCGTCTCACTCAATCATCGAGATCCCGTCAGGGGACCCTCAGGAGGGCTTCCTTATTAAGCCCTACCTTTGACCCTCTCTCTACCGTCCCGCCTCTCTCTGCTAGTAAAATCGTTAATCATTTTCTTGTCATTACGACGCAAATGGAGCAACTGAGGGATGCCTGGGGGTGTGGCCTCCTGGGTGTGGTCAATATTGCCACACACAAGCAATCGGCGCATGTTGACGAGCTGTATCACAGTCGAGTGTTTTTGGTTGCTAGGAGACTGACGGCAAGACAGGAAGCGAGATCATTAATGAAGCTACAAAGTGTAAGAGATAAGAAAAAAAGAGATGAAAAGGCGATTATTTTTACTGTTGTAGGATAAAGATACAGTGGAAGGTTCTGGATCTTTGGCTACAATGTTGACTGAGACTGACATTAGTTGGGAATCATTGGAACAATCTGAAGGATTGAATGAACTCCTTCTAAGAGAAACTCAAGTAAGAATGAGAGAGAATTAAGAGACGAAATTACATGTAACCTACTTCTTCTGTAAGTGTTTCTTTTAACTTTCTTTATAATAGCAATGCAGGATAGTTTACCACCTTTTATTGCACGTAAAAAATTAATTTTCAATGCATATAGACTCTCATTTTAAACTCTTTTTGTAAAATAATGCTAAACTCGCTTTATGATTAAAAGTGGACCCTATTTATGTAGGGCTCTAGGTTGGCGGATCTGTTGGAGCAGCAGTTGTTGCATGATGAGATAAAGTTTGTGAACAGATTGATACAACTTTGTATCAAAGAACAGCAAAGAGATGGAGAAACACTTCACATTGATTTATGGAAGAAAAGTGTATGCATCAATTATTATCCTACTTTATTTATTATTCTAATTGCTTCTCCCTACAGTCAATGAAGGACATTACTGGCATTCCCAGCCCTCAAATTGTTGATAGTTTCTTGCAGTCTTTACAAGACGGAGGAATGATAACAAAACCATCACTAGTTGAAATACCAGCAGTATGCAATATTAGAATATGGTACCTGAACTTTGACCTTTATTCTCTTAGGCTCATTTTGATAAGTGTATCTGTCAGCTCCAGTCAGCAGTACTAGCAAGAGAGAAAGAATCCTATTTATTGTAAATTGAGTATATTAAATGATCATAACTGATAAAACTTCCATCTTTTCCTTAATCTCTTCCTCTATCTCATCTCCTTCTTAGATATGCTTCTTTCTACGAGTCTATCATCCAAGGCCTTTATTACCAGCTGCATTTAAAAAATCAAGTACTAATGCAGTATTTGTGTGTCATTATTTATTATTTTTTCTTAGGAAGTTGAAAGTCAGCAGAATACAATAAAGTTTCTAAATGATCAAACTTCTGCCGAAAGTCTTATCACTATGGCAACCCAAACTCATGGACTATTGTTAGGTATGCTTATGAAATTGCTAATAATATACTAATAACATACTGACAGAGATTACGGCATTGAGAGTAAAGGTTAAGCAATTAAAAGAACAATTAGATAAACAGGTAACGTATTAATACTATTACTATTCTATTCATTTATTAATTATTTATTTATGTATAAATGAAGGAGAATAGACTGAGGGAAGAGATACAACAAGAGTATCAGTTAATGGTCGATGAGCTACAGGCATCTAGCATTTCAATAAAAGAAAAATATGAGCAATATCGGTAATGATCATTAATAGCATAAGAACATGTACATGTGTGTATGTGATGTGTGTTAGGAAATGTAATAAAAATAGGGAAGTCTCTCATAGCCATTTTTGACAGAATTTGACTAATACTCTACATAGTGCTTATGCTTTGTACTCTTTTGTATGCATGCAGCAACTCTGAAAATTTATAAAAATCCAGTTTTCATCGAAATCACCTCAAACTTTCTACACATATAAATACATGTAGAAAATTATAAAAACTACAAAATTTCACCTTTTTAATTTTGGCAAAATTTGGCCTAAGACCATATGCTATAGGGACTTTGATCAGATTTTTGAGAAACTTTAAAAGATCTAAATTTAATCAGAATCAACTCAAACATTCCACACATATGTATGTGTACCGGAAATTGTAGCCAAATTGAATTATAGCTATGTTGGCCTTGCATTTTACAGAGTTATTTTTCTGCTTATTTATTTTTATAGACATAAATTGTACAATCAAATTGTTGGTAAGCTGTACCAAACGAGACAAACTGTTGCTAGCAGTCTTGCAACGTTAGAAGAAAAAATAGAAACAGGAACAGCCAAAGGTATAAAGATAGTCTTTATATTCAGCAGGGGCTATACTCTGCCTGCCTCTTTAGACCATATTGAAGAAGTTAAAGGAGCAGAAAAACATGAAATACAAGAGGAAAATGCACAACTTTGTAAAACAGTGAGAATTAAGAAAAAGAGAGACAAAAATGATGCAAAGAATGCTTTATGCATACTCTTTTTAGCTATTGAAACTAAAGTCACTTTATCACTGGAAGAAGAGACAAGTGGACTATCAATCAACAAGACAGGTGCACTTGAATTAAAACATTTAGACTGATTCCGATGTTATTTATTATGTACATATACTATGACAAGTGGTTATTATTATTATTATTATTATTATTATTATTATTATTATTATTATTTTAGGAGCATTTATTGAAGAAGGAATTGGATGAGGCTCAGAGTCTGTTTATTGAATTAAAAATGATGTCAGAGCAAGAGAATGACATGCTAAAACAACAAGTACTGACACTACAAAAAGTAAGTGATTTTTATAGTTATTAATTACTATTAATTGTTTTAAATTGAAATTTTAGTGTTTAACCAATGAAGAGATAAAGTCTGAAGTGCTAAGAAAGACATTGGAAATAGAGGTCAGATGATTGATTAATTATCGTTTATTGTTTTATCAAAATAGAGACACAAGAAGATTACTGTACAAAGAGAAGTGAAACCAAAGGTAGCATCATCATTATAATCATCATCATTATTATTATTATTATTATTATCATTGTTATTATTATTATTTGCTGTTGTTTTAGGAAAAAGTTGCATCTAAATTTGAAAAAATGCAAGATGCCAAAATAAACCAATTGGTATTAGTTATTATTAATTAAATAATCTATTATTATTATCATTATTATTGTTATTATTAGAATGAAGAGCTTGAGAGCAAAAACCAAATGGTCTCTATCTTGCTAGGTAAGTCATCAACTTGTCATCATTATAGTATCGACATTGTTGTCATTGTTACGTCTCCTTTAGATTACCAAGAGAAAGAGAAACAAGAACTAAGGAATGACAGAATGAAACTAACAAAAGTATATACATAACATTACATAGCATCCACATATATACAGTACATACATGAATTTACATTTGCTGTACAGTGGGGCCCTTAAGCCTTTTTATTGAGAGCATTTTGTAATGTCCAAGTGGTGCAAGCCTATACAAAGTACCTCTGAAATGATGACACCTCTGTATTAAAGATGGGTAGTGTTAATTGGCTCAATGTTGTCTAGAAAAAAGAAGTTATTTTTTTGTTTGTATTATCTATTTGATAATTGTGTTTGTATAGGCTGTTGAATCTGCTAGACAAAGAATAACTTTGGAGAGAAAACTAAAATTAGATGCTTTCCATCAAGTGGAGACACTAATAAACGAAGTGATTACACAAACAAAATTAAATATTACTGACGTTATTTAATTATTTATTTAATAAATTAGGTACATGACTTGGAGCAGCAACACTGTCAAACTAAATCATCAAGTCTCTATTCTGGTATATAATCAAGAGTATAATTTATCTCCTTTTTTATTTACTCAATCATTCTTCTTAGGCTCATTATTTGCAATGGCTAAACTTAACTATCCTTACACTACAGCTGGAGGAGGCACAGCTGCTACTGGTACACCAACAGGTACAATAAATTATTTTTTAAAATAATATATATTATTTGTTCGTTTTATTTTTAGCTTCCATGCACTCTTTACGAATACAGAGACCTAAATCAGTAATAATTAGAAATTAATAATCATTTATGTTCATTATATTGTTATTGTAGCAACAGGGACGTTTAAGAACTCAGACAGATTCAGACGAAATGTCTTCTTATCAATCGCAAGAAATAGGAGCTCTAAGAATAATCTAATTCCCAAGCCCCCAGCAAACACTTTTTTCAACTACTATCAATTATTTTAATATCATGTGTAATTACCACTTTTGTCAAAACTTTAATTTATTTAAATACAATTTTTTTTTCATTGAAAAGCAACTGTAATTAAATCCCTTTAACTTCCTGTCTAATCAAACAAGTTTGTAACTCATTTTTATAATTAAATTTTTACCTTCCTGTCTCAGCTTGTTAACACCTCAAAGTGTTAACAAGGTGTCAAAAACAACTTCAAAAAAGAAATGCATTAAATTGGCTGTCTGCATGGTGGCATTTGCAAAGAATGAGGAAACTTATTAATTATAACTTTATCGCATTAATGAGGAATGGAGGAAAGAGGCATGACAAAAACAAACACATTAAAATCTTTAAAGTATATATGTACCAACTCAACTAGATCTATTATTTTTATAGCTTTTTGAAGGAAACAGACTCAGGGCCATGAAGGTTGCTGGAATCTTAAATCTGTCTGTTTCTCTCTTTCTTATTGGAAGAGTGATATGCTCTGATTGCCTCAATGAATATAACCAGCTGCTTGAGCAGAGGGCTCCATCACTGCACGAGACTTACTGCTGCACACCCACTAACAATGAAAAGAACTTCTCTTTTCCATTGAGTGGTGGATTCACTAGATACATATCGTGTACTACTGCTCCTCCTAGCTCATGCCCAAGTAAGCAACTGTATGATGGATTGAATTTGAATTACAGATAATGATGTATAGAGTTGAAGGACTGTCAGAGTTGGTATCAAGCAGGTAGCTTAACTAGTGGAGTATATACTGTCAATCCTGATGGAGGGACTCCATTTGAAGTTAGCAACTACAACTTAACTATAATTATTTAGCGCTGTTAGGTATACTGTGATATGGAGACTGATGGTGGTGGATGGACCGTATTTCAGAGGAGACAAGATGGATCTGTTGATTTCTTTCTATACTGGACTGACTATGAGAATGGGTTTGGTGATCTTACTGGTGAGTTTTGGTTAGGATTGAGCAAGATTCATCGTCTCACTAAAGAAGGATCAAACGCACTAAGAGTGGACCTGGGAGACTTTGATAATAACACAGCTTATGCTACTTATTCTACATTCAGTGTTGCTGACAGCAGTACATACTATACACTATCAGTAGGTGGATACTCTGGTACTGCTGGGGACAGTTTAACCTTCCACGATCATCACAACAATCAGATGTTCAGCACAAGAGATGTCGATAATGATAATAACATTGGTTCATGTGCTATCGCTCACCAAGGAGGTTGGTGGTATAACGATTGTGACTGGGCTAATCTCAATGGTCCATACCTCACTGGTGGAGTGGTGTATATACAGGGACTCACCTGGTACCACTGGAGGAATAATTATTATTCTTATAAATTCTCAGAAATGAAGACAAGAAAGTAATCAAATTACAATTAACATTCTGAACTTTACGGTTCATACTCAACATTTGAATAAGTATAAACATACATGATTCCAATAATATGTACTGCTGTTAAGTTTTATTGTATTTCGTCTTAATTACACAATGCAAATTCAACTGCACTGCTGCTGCTGATATCAAAATATACATTAAGGATTATAACAAATACAATATTATATCACAAAATTCACATGTACCTATTTCAACTGAGTCTCTGTTGACAACGAAGTTGAACTATGAATGGAATTTCCTTCAGTGTTAACAGTAGTAACCACAGAGCTGCTAATTGCAGGTGGGCGGTGGCTTATTGGAGCAACAATGGCTGCCTTACGAGCTGAAGTAAAAGGAGTATGCTGATGTAGAGTACTGATATATGAATGAATATCACTATCAACACTAGCTAGTGGTACTGAACCAATCTGACTGATGGAAGGACTACTTGATACAAGTGGGTCTAGTGTTGTGATGGGTGTGGTTAAAGTGGGAGTGGCTATTGCTTGAGGGGTGGAGGGTAAGGATTGTTTTTGTACCTGATGTAGAGTATTAGTGAGTGTATTTATGATATCTGTAGATGACGATTGCCCATCTTTTGTTGTGTTGAATGATTTGCATAATTGTCGCTGAAACTGTATAAAACCAGCCAGTGCTTGTGCCACAGCTGCTTCTGAGGGCGTGTGCTGGTCTTGATTTGCTTCTTCAACTTGAAGAGGTGCTGCATTTTGAACAGGTTGGATGGAAAAAGTGCTAGCTTCATTTTGAAAACTGGCTTGTATCTCAGTCACTGGTGGTAACATGCTGCCAGTAGATAGGTATTGTGAAAGTGTGTCATCCTCTTTAGTCTGTTCCTGTGGTGGGATAATAGTTAAAAACTGAGAGGGTTGAACACTAGCAGAAGGTAAGGAAGACATTGCTGCATTTTGTGCTAATTGACTACATGTAGCTCCTTCATTTTGTTGTTGAGGAGCTCCAGCAGTATGTAATGGCCTAACAATCATTGGAGGTACAGCAACAGGCAGTCCCAATTTTGATACTTCATTTGTTGGAACTAAATTATCAAATTCTGAGTCTGAGTCCGAATCGAGACAAATGACCTCAACTTCCTTGCTGGGCCCATCAGCACTGCCTTCTCTCTGTGTTATAACACTTTGCTGTTGTACAGGAACTTGAATATTTTGTTGAACAGGAATTTGTTGTGTATTGATGGTTGCTTGCTGATGCTGTAGGTGAGCATGAATTGGGACGGCTGGAGTAGGTACTCTTCTCATTGCCATTAGCTGCTGTTGAAATCCTTTCATAGCCACGTACTTCTCAACATCTGAGAGTCTTTCTTCACTGTCAAGCAACAGTGATTCGTGTTTGAATGGCAGCTGTATCAGATAAATAAATAAATAAATAAAATTAATAATACTGATTACTTTTGTTAGCCATTTACTGTGACTCTTTAATAAACTTGCTAACACAAAATCATAATTAAACTCATCAGAGTGAACAGAGAGATCCATATATGGCGTATCATCAGTCTGTAACAAAAAATAAATAAAAATATACTTCATCATGTACAGTATAGCAACAGTACCATTGGAGCTAATAATGAAAATATCTCATTTGCAGTGAAATGTCTCTCAGGATTCAACTCATCAACAACACGATCTATAAATATACCATAAAAGTGGAATATATTTTAAGGTAACTTTAATTTTATAATAAATGAAAAAAATAAAATTAAAAACCAGTCAATTTTTTGCTAGTTATATTAATTCATAGTAGCTCACGTGTAAACCGTAAAATTTAAAAATTAAATAATAAAGGCAGTAAAATATCCACTTTTGACTATCATGTGAGATTGTCTGACCTGCCATGCTTTGTTTAGTCACTTGTCTGTCGTACATTCTCTTCTCCATTGAAAGATCTGTCACTAGTCTATATATATAACATGGCTTTACTTGTCCATATCTATACACTCTAAAATAAGGAATAAAATAAATAATAAATAAATGATACAGTATGTCTTCTTTTTCCTCACCTGCAAACGGCTTGTGAGTCATAGCAAGGGTTCCAAGACACATCAACAACAATCACACGATTTGCTCCAACTAAATTAATGCCCAAACAACCAGCCCTAGCATCATCAACAACAACAACAATAATAATATTAATAAACTCTCTCTTGTACTTTGTTGATAGCAAGAAAGCCCACGTTGCTTGGTTGCTAGGCGAATTAAACTGACCAATCAGACGATCCCGTTCAACACTACCTGTACTACCATCAAGCCCTAGAAACACAAACCGTTGCCATGGCAACAGGGACCGGAACCAACTCACTATAGAAATTCTTTCCTTTGACCCAGGGTTGATCAGAAGTGAGGTAGGAGCCTTCAGGAGTGATGGAGGAAGGGACTGGCATATAACGAGAAGAGAGAAGCTTTTCAATAAAGGACAGAGTGGGGAGACTCTGACTGGTGGAGTGTGGAGAAAGAAATATACTAGTTTAGTTATACAAACATTTAAATTTAAATAAATAACAGGGTTAAATTTGTTTATTTGTTGGATTTGTTGCTAATAGGTATCGTTTTATAATAATAATAATAAAAAATTAATATTATGAAAAGACATACACTTAGATGTAGAAAAAAGAATTATTATTATTATGTTAAAGAATAAGTCAATAATATAAATAATAATAATAATAACCTGAAAATAAGGATCTTGTCCCCAGCAGCAACAGAGAGGTCTACCAATAAACTCAAGACTGTCATTTTAGGACTGTTCTCCAGGACCCCAGTCTGATACTCGGGCAGCGAAGTGTGAGGCTGTTGGAACGAGACAGTATGGGAATGAGATTTATTCATAATTCCATACCCATTCCAAGTTACACTGTGTGATTGATTGAGGGAGACCATCTTCGTCGAAAAGTCTTTCATTAGTGCTTGACTTCTGATTGACCGATTGATCATAATAAATATCAGGATGATTCCATATCTAATTAATAATAATAATAATAATAATAATAATAAAGGTAACATTATAGTTAAAAAATTAAGGTTAGTTACTAAGATTATTATCATTAAGATTATAGTTAGTATTATATCATTAATATTACCTTTGTACAAACAGCAAAGGCTTTAAGAGGCCCTAAAGTACTGCTACTACTGACAGGAATAGGTAGAGGAATGGAAGGAAGGTTGAAGGCTTTATTAATGGCCTCCATAGAAGCACTAGTGCTACTGGTGCTGCTCTGGTTACTGGTCACATTAAGGTCATACAGAGTCTGCTGGACATGAGAGAGACGTAATAATAAAACTTGTTCAAATTTCGGAGGGAGGATTTCTCGTAGGACATCATGACCGCGCCTACAACAAAATACAAACGATAACATATTAAATACATGATAAAGCAGCTGCCACGCCTACCTCAAGACAAATCCTTTTAGAAGCTCGTGAAGGACGTGAGAACGGAATTTCATTAACTGAACATCCTAAATAAAAAAATATACTTACTTGAAAGGATCATATCAATAATCAACATCCATAAAACAAACTCAAATCAAAACATACAATAGGTAATGCCATATAAGCGGGTTTTTTTAGGGTTGCAAATTTTGCGGATATCACAGATTCCTTCCTGATTTATCAAAATGAAATCAGCAAAAATCAATTTAATACAGTATCCGCATGGCACATGGCAGAATTTGCAAAATTAAAATCTGTGAATCAAAAATTTTATAGATTTTGCGAAATACAATCCCCTAAAAACTACTTATACTGTATCCATTGATTCCATTATTAAGACTCACTTTGAGAGTGCTATCAATACACTGTCCATTGCTGATCGGTCTCTCAAATAAATCCATAAACTCCGCCTTAGTCCCAAGATACATCGGACGCACAAAATCCACCATACACCAGTACTCGAGCAGATTGTTCTGGAGTGGATACCCAGTCATTACAATGCGCCGTCTAGTGAGGAGAGGGAGAGAAAGAAGAGATGAAAGTGATGCTCACTATACACATGTACATGTACACAGCCAAATATAATCACATTGATCAGGCCTGATATCAGGCATGAATCATGGATTTTGGGCAATCAGTCCTGACGCAATCATGGGTTCAGCCACGGTACAAGCATGATAAGAATCTATACTGGATCAGGCCAGACTAACTTCTCTGATTCAGCAATGATAGTCAACAGGCCTGTATACTCCAGTACTGATATCAGGCTTGAGTCATTAATTTTGGGTAACATTTTTAATCAGGCCTGAATATATAGGTAGTGTCTAACCTGGTCTTGACTCTTTTCAGAGCTTGAGAAATGTTCGTTGAGTCGTTTTTAATTCTGTGGCCTTCGTCACAGACTATCATGTCCGGACCAGGATTACACAAAGCTTGCTGTATCTCTAAAATGTAGTAATAATAATAATAATAAAAGACAAAGTCATGTGGTGTGACTAACCAATCAATATGTCCATTTCTCTCTCAGTTTCATCAAGATCTATCATAGTTGGACCAACACTCTTTACCTTTTTCTTTCTCTTCACAGCCATTTTATTACCTAAGTAGAGAGAGAGGGAGGGGGGAGGGGGAGAGATAAATGGTAAAACAGACTCTTCCCTTACCTCCAATGGAAGGAATTGACAATGAGAGAAGGCGAAACATTTCGTATCCCATTAGTAAGACTCCGCCCATTCTGTACCAGCGAGAGATGATGTCATATCGACTCTCCATTGACCTGATGCTCTCGGTTAACATGAACAGAGTAAAATTACGTGGAACAACCTAAAAATAAATGTAATTATATGAATAAACGATTAAGGGGATGTCCTACAAAGTGTGGTAAGTGAGCTAAACAGAGCTGACAAGCACTGCACCAGGTAGTGCATGCTTTTTGGAAATTCATTAAAAACCCAATTTTTATTGGAATCAGCTCAAACTTTATGAAAAAATGGAGAGTTCCCTCCTAGCCATTTTTGACAAAATTTAGCTAAATCTTGTCGGAAACCCCTTAGGTGGATATTATGGCCAGTTAAAGAATTTTGCCAATTTCTGAAAATACAATGGGCTATACATGTTCATGCTTTACGTTTTGGCTCTAAATCACTCCCAGTTTTTATTATATTTTCTGATACACCATAGTAAAGTTTACCTTAGTATCATGGTCACTATCACTCTTAACCGGTAGCCACTTATCAAACTCGTTTGACCAGTTTTGGAGTGTATTAACTGGCACAACACACAAGACACGCTGGGCTGATGTAACGCGTAAAAATATATCAATAAATCCAATGACCTAAATAAAAAATAACACACAAATACACAACCAATTCCGCACACAAACATGTATATTTACGTTACATGTACATGCACAATACATGCACTTACTTGTAAAGTTTTCCCGAGGCCCATAGCATGTGCTAATATGCAACCAAAACCCGTCGATGATTTATAGTGTTCAAGTGACTCTATGATATTATCATACATAAACCTGATCCCACCAACCTAAAGCAACAAAAACAAAAACAACAACAATAACAATAATAAACATTAACAATAATAATAATAACAAAATAATAAACAATAAAAGTAATAAGATTCTCTTCTTCTTACTTGATGTGGCTTGATAATGGCAGTTATTTGAGGGACTAAAAACACGTCTCCCTCACCTGAAGGATGCCCCACGTTAATCAGGACCTGCCCGTCCTCCCGTCTCTCGGCCACCTCGTACTTCCTTATAAGGTAAGGTCACATAGCAACGGTTGCCATGGTAACACTCACTTGTGTATCTCAGAGACTCGTCTTGGCTTTTTGGCTGAGCTGATGTCTTCTAGAATAACCATGTCCCCATTTACTGAGGAGGAGGAGGAGGAAGAGGCTGGCTCCTTTATCTCATCATCATCATCGTCACCCGTCAGGTCAACCATAACTACCGGTGGGCTATAATTAGAATAAAGTATGCTATAAATAGTAACACAATAAGTGAGGCATAAAGTAGGTTAAAAATAGTAGCAGGATAAGAAATGAAACCATATATAATAATACGTACCTTTCTACCTCATTACTTGGTGATTTCCTCTCCAAGAGGTTATCCTGGTCACATGACTGCTCAAGCGACTGATCGTCCAATTGGTTCTGTAGCTGTTCAAGTCGTTTAATACGCTCAAGCTCTTCGGTCTGGGCCATAAGTGCCTCTGGGTTGAAATCTTCAATACTCTCATATTTGGATTTTATGTTTCTACGATGTCCAGGCTGTTTGGTGGACTTCCTTTTCCTCTTTCTCTTCTTTTGGCCATTATCGGGACACACTTCTCCTCCTTTCTGCTCTTCCTCTGATTCAGACTCATCACATTCTTCTTCTCCATCTTCTTCCTCCTCCTCATTCTCTATGTATCCCTCTTCTTCAATATCTAGACTACTTCTCTCCACTCGGTTCTCCATAGCTCAGGGATTGGCGGTAAAAGAACACGTGACTATGTTTATTGTGGGTGTGGCTGAAAGTTGACCACGCCCGAAAGTTTTTATAGCTTTAAAAATAATTTTGGATAAAAATTGAATTAAGAAAATTAAATGATAGAGGGGCTCACAACAAAAAAGCAACCATAAAATGTTCTTAACTACATTCACTAAAGACAGTGAATACACTGGCTGGAGGAGGAGTAGGGTCAAAACTATAATAATAAAAAACACAATTGAAAACAGATATACGCTGTGACTTAAAGTATGGAATGTTCGGCTTGTCCTGAGCTACACCAATAGCAAATTCAGTACCTTGATCATTCTGCAATAAAAGAATAGTAAATTATGAATGAAATAAATAACACACCGGCTCTCTTGCCCTCTTTCTTTCTGATTTTAATATTACAAAATTACAATAGTAGTGAAGACATCAATGAGATGATTGTCCTCCTTCATGGTATTGTTATAAGTTGTATTCCTTGTCCAGGCCCACACTGGGTTCATCACGCCATTGCTAGACTCATTATTGCATGGGGCATTAGGTTTAGGATCCAGACCTTGCCTATACATACAAGACAAGTTACAAGATATTAAATTTTGTTTTTTTCCATCAGTTATACCATTGAATGATATAGGTTTGATTGATATTGTACAGCTGTAACAACCAAAGGTATTTTGGTGGCATGTGTACTTGATCTGATGCAACCTTTTCAAGATATTTCTTTGCAGCAATGTCACTGTGGATTTCACCTATTGTACAATCACTGAAAGCAATAATGAGACTCAGTGTCATTACCAATTTCATTATTAAAGAACTCTCCCGACTTTGTACACACTGTTCTGTACTGCAAATATGAAGTGTAAAAGCATAGTAGACTAGATTAGTAATACTTTACCCGAGTAGAGAAAGTTTCAGAGATTACAGGGGGAGCTGGAGAAGCAGGGTATCCATACACACAGAGTGCTATAGTGGCAAACACAAGCAAAAGCAGGTTAGTCTTCATGTTTAGGCTTTAGCCTCGTCTTTAGCTTTGCTGGCTATTTGGGTGTGGTTTTATATGATTATGAGGGTGGGGCTCATATTGCAAAAAAAATTTAGCACAGCATACAGCAACTATGCATATAACAGCTAGTCCATTGTTAATGCTTAATAAAAGGAGTCTTTGGTGCTTTCCTATCACATTCACCAGGGACAGTGAATGTATGGGCCGGAGGAGCAGTAGGATCAAACTCATGATAATAATAAATGACGTAGAAATCTCCAAGACGCTGCGAAGTAAAGTATGGTATGTTCTTCTTTTCCCGATCTACACCAATAGCAATCTCAGTCTCATTATCCTGCAAAGAAAAAATATTTCATTTTTATGCATGCACCAAATCTCATTAGTCTTCTGTCTATCTCTCTCTCTCCCATTACTCAATGCATGTAGCTAAAATGTTGCAATTACAAAAGTTGTGAAGATGTCAATGTGATGATTATCATATGTTATAGTCTCATTATATTTTGTGGTTCTTGTCCAGGCCCACACTGCTTCCATTACACCAGAGTTGGTTTGTTTCCTGCATGGTCCTGTAGGAGTTGGATCCTCACCTTCCCTATTAACATGCAAAGTATTATTTATTTTTCCATTATTTTCTCCCTTTACCATCCCTATTAACATGCAAAGTATTATTTATTTTTCCATTATTTTCTCCCTTTACCATTCAAAGGAGTAGGTCTCTTTGGTTTTGTACAAGTCCAAAGTCCAATCATGTTTTTTTAGCTTATCCTGTTGTACTGTTGTCACAAGTCCCTTATATTTTTTCTCAGCAAAATCACTGTATACCTCACCTATTATATACATACATAAAATGATACATTATATATTTCCATTCTTTCTCTCCTTACCAACATAATAGATGCTCTCAACAGTTTTTGACTTCTTTGTCTCTGCTCTGAACTACATAGACAGTAGTGATATTAGTGGAGGAATAATCTACTTACATGAGTGGTGAAACTTTCAGAGATTACAGGGGGAGCTGGCTGTCCATACACACACAGTGTTACAGTGGCAAACACAAGCAAAAGCAGATTAGTCTTCATCTTTCTTTAGAAAATTTTTTCTGAGTTTTTCTTACTAGGTTACTATCTCTAACTTGATCAGCTCAGTTTATCACATGATGCATGATGTGTACTGTATATGAACTAACCTTATAAGCTGATAATGAATATTGATTGTATCATGTTTGTGAACAAGGAAGTTGAAGGAACATTAAAATAAATGAGCCAAACAAAAACAAACTACAATATAAATGTGGTGCAGCTGCAAATGGTGGGCTGAGAAGCTGAGAGCTGAGGAAAAAGGCCTGACTGATGCTCAAGCTGACAGCCTCTGCAGATCTGCAGAGCTAAAGAGGTGTGGCTAGTTAATTAAGCCTTATAATGAAAATGGCAACAGAAGCTAAGGCTGGTGATGTATTTAATCAGTTTCTTCTGCCTTTAATGGTAAGAACTCTCTTAGATAATTGTATTAATTTTCTTTTGTTTTTTCCTTTTTATATTCTCTCTCATTTTAAGTCAGGGGGCATAGCCGGCACGACTGGTGATATTGTGCTGTTTCCACTAGACACCATTAAGACCAGGTTACAGAGTAAGAGAGGGTTTTTAGCCTCTGGAGGTTTCAGGAATATTTATTCTGGTATTTTACCAGCTGCTGTCAGCTCAGCTCCTTCTGGTAAGGACTAGCTTGTCAATTAAAGGAAAAAATTAATTGTTATATTTTGTGTAGCTGCAACTTTCTTTTGTACATATGAGATTGTCAAGCACTTTTCTAGTCGCTATTTGGGATTATCACAGTCACCATTTGTACACATGGCGGCTGCATCAATTGGAGAAATGGTAAAAATTTTTTATGTCCAAAGTCCAAACCACAGCTGTTGAAATAATTGACCACAATTATTAAATTTTTATTTATTTATTTAGGTATCTCTTCTGGTCCGTGTCCCATTTGAAATAGTAAAACAAAGAATGCAAACAAACAAAATGCTAAAGTCATCACAGATCATTAGACAAACACTAGCAACTGAAGTATGAATAGCTAGAAACATTACTAATCTAGCATTATTGATAATAGCATATACTCTTGATAATAGGGTATTTTAGGATTATATAGGGGCTATTGGTCAACTGTCATCAGGGATGTTCCTTTCTCCTTTATACAATATCCACTCTGGGAGTACTTTAAAGTATTTTGTTTTTTTCTATAATGACATATCTCTCTCTATTTTTCTTTATAGCATTGTTGGAGTGTTTCTCAAGAGTCTCCAGTGTTGCCATGGCAAGGTGCAGTCTGTGGTGCTCTAGCTGGTAGCGTTGCTGCTTCAGTTACTACTCCATTGGATGTTGCTAAAACAAGAATCATGCTGGCAAAGGTCAACAATGAATGACGTTATTGTAATATTATCACTTTACTCTAATATCATTTCTATTTCTTATTATGCTTGTTTTCCTCTCTGTAGAAAGACAGCAAAGAGGTTAGTATCTCTATCTATCGGCTTGTACTTTCAATAGGAAGAGAGGAAGGAATAAGAGGGTACAGGAGATGATTCTAGTACTTCATTGTTCTTCAATTCTGCAGGCTCTTTGCTGGTTTTACCCCGAGAGTGACTTGGATAGGTATTGGCGGGTTTGTGTTTCTCGGTGCTTATGAAAAGAGCAAGTACATTCTTTACCACTGGTACAATGGACCTCCCAAGGCTAGCTGATCTTGAATATCTTGTCCATCCCTCTCTACCTCCCTTCATCTGCCTCTCCCTATCTATGAATGTGCATGAATCAACAATATTCATTTTAAAAATTCATTATCAATATTGCAATTCAGCTATCAAAAATAACAAAACAGGAACAGTCTTAATTATCATTCTGATAAAAATTACATTATCATCACTCGTCGTAGCTTCATGCCATTATTAAAAGATTTACGATTAAAAAACTTTTTTACTTTTAATTATAATAATGTATACACGTCCGTGTATGCATGTGTATATAATAATAATTATGAGGATAATTTTAATATTTTGAAAATCAACTGCGCCTGTATTTCAATAATAATGATGCTACTATAATTCCATGTCTTGTGCCTCGTCTTCTGACAAATCACTCGTCTCCCCATCATCACTTGAACTATCTCCCCCTTGTTCTCTTAACACATCCTCAGTTGCGTATTTGTTAATATATTCTGAAAAAGATGCGTGTAATTATTATAACTCCATTATAACCTTGTTTTGTTTTGTTACATAAACTGTACAGCAGCAAACATATAAGGACACCACACTATAGTACACATGCAGTAGCCATATCAGGAAATTAAATTAGAATAGGATTGGGTAGCCAAGGACTATGTAGCAATTCTTAGCCACAAGGCTATGTCTTTCCAAAATTTGAATTGCTAACAACAATAATGTGATTTGAATAGTAGCTGCCTTGCTGAGTAATTGTGGCTACACTGTAATCTCTACATCATCAATTGACGAGGAGAAATATGCAAAGAATGTGTCGCTTGGAAGAGATAACAAGCATATTTTTATCATAGCTTATTAGTACATGTCAACAACTAAGCAAGTGATTATAACACCCACTACCACCTTCATAATCTCACCCACTCTCAGCCCATCTCTTACCACAGATCTTCTTCTTATAGTCTTCGGGTTTATGAAGAAATAGAGCAGCAGCATCGCCGTTAAGAGGATCCACGGGATTAGGATATGATAATAATTGAGGCAGAAAAGAGTCAAATATATTAGTTAAATCTAAAAAAGAATGATGAGAACCAACATGAAGTAGTCAGTTAATGGATTTTGTATTGGGATTCAAACACTATGATCGATAATAATGGGAGGTTTATGGTACATACAGTTCAAACCATTGTTTATATTAGTTGGACTGATGTATATTATACATGACAAAGGAGGCTGTTGTTGTGCATGTATTTATCAAAGAATATTTTTCTGTGTGTACCATATAAAGCAGTCCAGGCCTGATTGATGACATCCAAGCAAACAGTACCAGATCTAATATTGTAATAGAAAGAAGATAAAAAATTAAAAAGTTCTTACGCTTCGTCAATATTTGGATGAAATATCTTGTTGATAAAACCTAAAAACGATCTCAAAAATAAAAGAATTGTATAGTGTATGACTGTATGTATACCTATTGAAGGTGACTTGAAGGGATATTTGTCAGGTAGGTCTACTCTTACCTTCCATACTCCCTTTTCGTAAGGTGCTAAAAATAAATTAGGAGGTAATTAGTAACATACATCATGATAATAAGCGTGTGCATTCTTGTTGTACAAGACTAACTTCCTGATGGTCCGTAGAACTTCACCACAAACTCGTTTAAGCCTCCAAGTATTGTGACCTCGTGTTTGCTCTCCACTCTATAGGGAGGAGTAAGGGGAGAGACGGTATTATGGTAGTAATTATGACAGAATAGTATATATTAGCATTCCAATTACAAACAAAGGTATGGCACTGTCAGCATTATAAGGAAAGAGAGAGAGAAAGAGATGAGATATTATGTTGTTGGTTGTGTAACATTACTGCTTCCTCTTTGTACAAGCACAAAGGATTCCCACAGAATAAATGTACAATACAGTAATTATACATGTACAAGTACAGTCTACATGGTCCCTTTCAAAGCCAATAATGTATGAATGTCAATACATGTATTCTCTTTCTCTGTTACTGACTCACAATTTGACAACATCAGTGTCCATTCTTCTCTTACCAGCCGCTGGAGAGGACATCTTTCTCACTGTCACTCAGACTCTCGTTCCCCCTCTCTCTTTGTCCCTTTGTAAAACTTTTGTATGAATTGACTTTCAGTTACAGTCCAACTGAAATTAAAATAGTACCGCAGTACCCCCTTTTTGATTCTTCGTGACGTTAAACAACTATTCAGGGCCTTTCTGTAGTCGCCTTATGAGTAATACCTTTCAGTATAAATATTCACTACTGGCCGTCTCTCTGGCTCAAAAAAGTAGAGTTGCTTCGCGTCCTTGCTGTTCAGATCATCTAGTAAACAAACTGACGTAATAAGCGACCTCAGCTGTTTACCGTATCCGGTCTATTTAAACAAATTAGTGGGTGTGGCCAAAATTTTGAAAATTAAATTTTACCGTAAAATTTAATTAAGTTTTCTGCCTTAAAACTTCTAATTAAAGAAATAAAATTGTTTCTTTCTTATTTCAAAACATGGCCACAGCTGAGAAAAGAAAGCTAGAGGAGGAGAAAGTCAAAGGAGAGGGAGTGGAGGAATCCCCAAAGAAGAAAAAGCCCAAGAAAGCCCTCGACTCGAGATTTGGCGGTAGAACAGAAGAAGAAATAATGCAGCTATTGCTCCCTGACCACCTCCAGCCTGACCTCGACATTGTTTTTGTAAAATAACTCATTGAGACACAAATATTTACATTTACTTTAGATTGGAATAAATCCCGGCCTTTTGTCTGCTCACTTGGGTCACCATTACTGTAATTCGAATAATCACTTCTGTACGTCATTATTATTCTATTTATCATTATTATCATTGTTTATTTATTTACATTAAAGGGCCCTGTATGTATGAGTCTGGGCTAATCCCTCGTAAGATGGGATATAAAGAAGATGCTGAATGCTTGCTGTATGGCATTGGATTCACTAATATCGTTCCACGGACTACTAGAAGCAGTAATGAGCTTTCTAGGTATACTTATAATTGCTAACATACAATAATTGAATGGGGTTGTTTTTTAGGAAGGAGATTAAGGAGTGGTCACTGGTAATGATAGATAGGATGAAAGAGCTCAAGCCATTAGTTGCTTGTTTTAATGGAAAAGGTATAAATGAATTTATTTGTTTATGTAATATTATCAAGAGTTCATAATGTGCTCTTGGATATTATAATCTCTTTGTTTTTCTTCAAAAAAGGTATATATGAAATATTTTCAGGAAAGAAATGTCAAGTTGGTATCCAGCCTGATCCCCTACCAGGGACAGAGACAGTAAGAGAAAGAGAGAGAGGGAGAAAGCTTATGTTCCTCTTAGGTGGTGTATGTAATGCCCTCCACGTCAGGTAGAGCTGCTTCTCATCCTCGTCGAGTTGACAAGTTAAAGTTTTTCCACGAACTAAAGCAACTAAGAGACCGTCTCAAACTAGAGAAAGGTCGAGTTTGCACGCTAGACTCTTCTTACCAACAACTGCAGGCCATTCCCTCTGCTTCGGTTGCTGTGACAACCGTTTCCATGGCAACCCCAGGGATTACATCAGAGCCAGGTAAGTTTATTCTTATGGTTTGGTTATCAAGTGTTTGTATTGCTGTAGTACAAGGAATTACTGGTAAAGCCACAGATGAAAACAAATTATTAGTAGGACCACTGCTACCAGATGGCACAGTTGCTAAACATAATACTGGTAGTGATTACAAGAATCAGTTAGCTGGTAATGCCACTATAGCCACTGCCAATAATGATACTACTAGTGTATCAGGAGGAGTCTCCTTTTATAATGCAGAGTGTCCTCTTACATCAGGGAGTCACTCAACTAATAAATAAATACGTCATCAGTCAACCTAGTTATTAGTGGTAATAATAATAATAATGATTAATTATTGTTTATTTTAGTTCATTTAAAAATCAATTCTTTTGCTCTTAATTGATTTGTTTTTGAATTGACTGTCGTCTTCTTGTGGACGTGCAACTGTGTCTGACAGCTCGGGTGGAATGTGAAGCTTCTATTTGGTTATAACAGCAATGATAATGTTTTAATCTGTTCATACCTCAATCACAAATTTCTTTCTTTTTAATTTAAATGCCAAGTCAAGCGTCTCAGGATAATGACAAGTCAAGGATTTTAGTGTTGGCAATTTCACGAAATGAAATAATCCTAAAATTAGCTGTGTTCAAATTATTTGGAATCAGTGCAATCTTTCTACACAGCATAAGGACATCAATATGTATCAAAAAATATAATAAAATTTGGGGTAATTTTGGAGCCATTTTTCAGAAAAAAAAACATGGGCTGTTATAGCCTTTGCTTTTTTCCAAAAATTGACTACTTTAAAAATTGACGATAACTTGAAAAATTAAAGTCAGAATCAGCTTGAACTTGCTACATGGCATAAGGACATCAATATGCATCAGAAATTGTAATAAAAATTTTGGGTGATTTTGGAGCCATTTTTTGGAAAAAACCATGGGCTATAGCCTTGGGTATTTTTCAGAATTTTGGTGTTTTCTTAAAATGGCCGTAACTTGAAAAATAGAAGTCAGAATCAGCTCAAACTTTCTACACAGCATAAGGGCATCAATATGTATCAAAAAATGTAATAAAAATTTGGGGTGATTTCGGAGCCATTTTTGAAAAAAACCATGGGCTATAGCCTTGGGTATTTTTCAGAATTTTGGTGTTTTCTTAAAATGGCCGTAACTTTAAAAATTGAAGTCGGAATCAGCTCAAACTTTCTACACAGCATAAGGGCATCAATATGTATCAAAAAATGTAATAAAAATTTGGGGTGATTTTAGAGCCATTTTTTGGAAAATACCATGGGTTATAGCCTTGAGTATTTTTCAGAATTTTGGCGTTTTCTTAAAATGGCCGTAACTTAAAAAAATTGAAGTCGGAATCAGCTCAACTTTTCTACAGAGCATAAGGGCATCAATATGTATCAGAAAAAGTAATAAAAATTTTGGGTGATTTTGGAGCTACTTTTTGGAAAAAAATGTACAAAACATTTACCATGATATTCTTTAAAAAGTGGATTATGCTCTTTATCTGATCCTGCAAAAGACTCTAGTCTAACCACACAATCACAGAGTCTCTCCACTCTCCTCACATATGAAGGATTCTGTAAGAAAATCCAATGAATAATCTGGGTAAAACTTTGAAAATACTAACTTGAAACAGATGTGTTGGAATTGTAATCATGGCAACTGCATTGGCTGTGTGTAGAAGACATCTCAGCGAATGAAGAAACTGTGTTAGGGCAAGGGAGTCAGAGTTAGCATCTTCAAGCCATAATGGTGATCCTATTGACTGGATGGCTATACGAAGGATGGTCTTTATGGATTATTTTAAAATAATATTAAAACACTAACACCTTTTGCTCATTGTGTGAATCAGCTGGATCACTATTGGAAAAAATATTATGACTAAGTTCTTTTCTTATTGACTGTAACAAGGTGGAATACATTGCTGCAGATGTTCTAGAAAAAAAAGATTGAAGTGTTCATAAAAAAAGAAAAAAAAAGCGCAGTGGGTAGGATTCGAACCTACGCGGGGAGACCCCAATTGATTTCTAGTCAATCGCCTTAACCACTCGGCCACCACTGCTACTTGTTAATGCATAGTTTTTGATCCGTACCTAATCCGAGTGTCCACGAACTCTGCCACTGAAATTTTAACAGGATCCAATCTTTCTGCTTCCATTTTGGATGTCAAATCAAAGCGATGTCCAAATTTATTACTAAAAGATGACTGAGCCTCTTGTAACATATTAAAGTTGCCATTTTTTTCACTACCTTCACTTTAGGGAGACTTTGATAACGCCATGCAATTTTCATTTCTTCAGAGTCACCATCATCTTCTTCAACAATAGTATCTTTCATTAAATTAGCTGCCACCTCATTACTGTCTTCTTGCACTGGACCAGGCAGATCCTAATGATGTTCAATTATCTTAGTGACATTAAAATCAAGTTAAAACTACTGATGCAAATTATGGCAAAAATTAAAATATTAGTAATAAAAGCAGCCATTATGCATTTAAAGGCCTCACGTTTAGTAAATCTGTAGGTTTTTCACTGGCACTAGACAGGAGGAGCGAGTGGCCACACATTACTCCTTCAGCAATGTAGTATTTGAAAATAACACGGGAATAACTCTCATTGATATCCTCTTCTACTTTTATCATTAAAACAACAGTAAATCTGCAATAATCCTTACCAACTAGCATTATGCTTCCAACACTCATACCACCACCTAAAAATTTAAAATAATTAATTTCTAGAGAATAATAACTCAATTACAGTACCTAATAGTGCATCCATTGATGGAACACCAGTAGACACTAATAATAAGGATGCATTCTGTATTGATGGTCTAGTTCCAAGAGGATGAATTTTAGAGCTATGCGCTCTTTTCCTAAAACTGGTAGCCATATTGAATTCCCCGGATACTGCCCTGGATTTCTTTATCCGTATATCCTCTCTGAATAAAAATGGCTGGTCTTCCCAAGCGGATTTTAAAGGTAAAATGACTTGCTACTTGAGTTTTTGATGGATTTTTATACGCTAGGAGACTCAAAGACTATTGACAGATCCTGTTCAGGGGATTAATGCGACTCCAGATGAACAGAACGCGAGATATTTCCACGTGGTGGTTGCTGGACCAAAAGATGTAAAATTTCTCATTTTAAAATTTGTTATCTCATTATGTATAATCACAATAGTCTCCTTTTGAGGGTGGTACGTTTAAATTAGAACTATTTCTTCCTGAGGAGTACCCAATGGCCCCACCCAAAGTTAGATTTATGACGAAAATATATCATCCAAACATTGACAAGCTAGGAAGAATATGTCTTGACATTTTAAAAGGTAACGATTGAAATGAGAATGATCATATTGAACCTCTTTCCTAACTTGATTAGTTTAATCATATAGCTCCACCAATCTTACTTATTTGCCATGTTTTTTATTTTTTTTGTGTTTGTGCTATATACAATCCTTTAAATAAATAAATAAATAAAGTATTATGTTTATGTTACGTTTGTTTTTGTAGACAAGTGGAGCCCAGCGCTCCAGATACGTACGGTATTATTATCAATACAAGCTTTACTTAGTGCACCCAATCCTGATGACCCACTAGCTAATGATGTAGCAGATGCATGGAAGACTAATGAGCACTTAGCTATACAAACAGGTGAAGAGAGTTTTTTGTACATGTATTTTATCTTTACATCTCTTTTATATTTTACCCGTTTCTGTCTTCTCTTCAATAATTTTAGCTAAAGAAT